TTCCTTCCAGACTGGACTACTGTAACTCTTTACTATCAGGATGTCCTAATAGTTCCCTAAAAAGCCTCTAATTAATCCAAAATGCTGCAGCCAGAGTACTGACAGGAACTAGCAAGAGAGATCATATTTCTCCCATATTAGCTTCTCTCCATTGGCTCCTTCTCCTAAATCCTTCTCCTAACATACAAAGCCCTTAATGACAAGGCTCCATTGTATCTTAAAGACCTCGTAGAGCCTTATCATCCCAACAGAGCACTTTGCTCTCAGAGTGCAGGTTTACTTGTGGTTCCTAGAATCCACAGAAGTAGAATGGGATGCAGAGCCTTTAGCTATCAAGCTCCTGTCCTGTGGAACCAACTCCCAGTCTCAGTTCAGGAGGCAGACATGCTGTCTACCTTTAAGATTAGACTTTTTTGATAAACCTTATAGTTAGGGCTGGATCAGGTGACCCTGAGCCTTCCCTTAGTTATGCTGCTATAGGCCTAGGCTGCTGGGGGGCCATGATGTTCTGAGTTTCTCTCCTCTCTTCTCTCTCCATGCATCTATATGCCACCATTATCTGTCACTAACTGTCTCCTCTCTGCCGTAGTGCGTCCTCTCTCTCTCCCTGTACCTTTCTGCAAGTTGCCCTGGCTCTGGAGCTCTACATTTCTGATGAGCAGTCAGCGGTGTATGACTGTTTGTTGTTGTGTTTGTTGCCTCTTGTTGCTTTTTTCTTTTGTCTCTTGTCTATGCACTCACCCCAACCGGTTGAGGCAGAAGGCCGCCCACCAAGAGCCGGGGTCTGTCGGAGGTTTCTTTCATTAAAGGGAGTTTTTTCCTCCCCACTGTCGCCAAGTGGTTGCTCAAGGCAGATTTGTTGGGGTTTCCTTTATAATAATCATAATAATAGTAAGGTCTAGACCTTATTTTGTAAAGTGTCCTGAGATGGCTTTTGTTGTGAATGCTATACAAATAAAACTGAATTGAATCAAATTGAACCCTGTGGAACCCATCTGTTAGTAATGGGCAGGATTCAACAAAGAAAGCAGAAACTCAAGCTGTAGAGCTGTCTGTGATGTCCAGCTGCTGGTGCACACTGTCCAGCACACTTATTTTGCTTTAGCAACAGTATAGGCTGATGAAAACAAGAATTGTTCAGCCTGTTACCTTGAATCTTCTGTTGGAAGGCAGAAATTAGTATTCTCCATTTTTGACAAAAGAGATACTGCTAGTGTTGTCTCTGTCTCTCCTCTCTTTCTGGATGAGTGGAGCACAGCTGCGGATGTGACTTCAGCTCAGCTGTTTCTCATTGCTTAATCATCCCGAAGCACACATACCCTGGCTGTGCCATTCTTCATCACCAGTCAGTTCTGACCTGTTGTCTACTTGTTTCACTACAGTTTGTAGTCTGTGTTCCTCGCTGCCTGTCTCCTGTTACCTCCGCCTACTCACCTGAGCTCTTTGCCGCCAAGTGAGTGGTCCTGGGTCTGCTTCTGCATACTCACCTGTGTGCCTTGCCGCCAAGGGAGCTGTCTCCTGCTCAATCTTCACACACTCCGCTCCGGGAAATTGCCGGCTGACTTCATCTGGATCTGTTGTTCAGTCCTCTCGGCACCCACCTCTTCAACCATTGGTTCGCCTCAACCTGCAGCACTTGCTCTATTCCTCAGACAGTGTGGATTTGGTATCCTTGAGTCACCCTACCAACCTGCACCTCATATCCCTTTTTCAACATGGTCTTGGCATTGTGCCCCCATCAACCCAACCCTCAGTACCTCCTTCTTCAACCAGTCCAACGTCAACTCTAGTCCTCATCCCTCAACCAGGTTCCAGCATTCACCAGACTGTTACTAGTAACCTTAATCTATTTTCTTGTTGCCCCTGTCAGTGTTCCAATAAATCTGTTATGGTTGCTCTCAGTTTCATCGTTCTCGCACTTATGTTTTGACCTGTTTCTGTCTCACCTCACCTGCCCCAGCTTCACCCCGGTCTCATTCTCCAGTCATTAGTTTCATCTGTCCCTCGTTATCAGCCATGTGTCATATACTCCTCCCTTCACTCAGTCTGCCAGTTCATTGCATTAATGTTACTCTACGCTATTCGATGCTGCTACACTTCGTTCATGTCACGTCCATTAAAGAAGACTCTCCTGAACTCTTGACTTTGCATCATTTGTATGTGTGACTTATTCCTTGAACCTGTGGAATTACCTACTAGACAAACTGCATTCTGCTGTGTGAGTACAGTCGATCCTGTAGACTTTCTTCCCATATAGCTCTGCCTATTTTCTGCCGTGTTGAGCAGCAAAGCTTCTGACCACGTACCACGCTCACTTGGTGTCTTCTCTGGTGACGCCGACAGCAGCCTGTCCCTGATGAATCACTGTAACTTCTCTTGTCTACCTGCTGTCTCTGCTTTGGCGACTTGATACGTTTCCCGAGGCTCTCACCTGTAATGCTGACAAGCAGCTTCCCTCCAGAGACTTCTTGGGTTTTTCCCCTGCCTGTTGTCTTGTTGCCTACCCTTCTCAGTCAGCTCTCCACATATCAGTCTTCCCCCCCGTGACACTGTCCAGCAGCATTAAAGTGTCTACCTTCCCTCCACCTGGTCAAGATAAAGCACTCACTATTGTCTGTTGTGGGTTTGTATGCCAGCTGCCCAAACTAGATCCTGCCTACTCACCTCCATGCCCCGGGTCTCCTGGTTCCTCGCCCTGGCCCTCCTGGTTCCGGCTGTCCACCTGCCTACTCACCTCCACATCGTGGTCCTCTGGTCCTCCTGGTTCTTGCCCTACCTGTCCCCAGTTTCCCACTGCTTATCCTGCCAGCCCAGTGGATGCTCAGCCTGTTTGCCACCCAGCATAAGCACTATTATTTATCTAATAAACTCCTTTCTGTTGGCACACCTTCTCTGAGTTTCAGAGACTGCATATTGGGTCCTAAACTCACACGCAGTCTAACAGTCTTTTAACTGCTCAGAGTTAGTCTCTTGCATTTGAGTCCACACATACCATATTCGACATATGGGATGTAACAGCTAGCGAGTCTGAGCTTGCTTGTGTTTTGAACTGCTCCAAATGTGCTTTCTATGAACTGGCCAGTGGTCTTTGAACAAATTCTGAGTTGATTACATAATTTAGTATTAAATGTCACAGTCACGCTGCTCAACCAGTTGTGTCGTGTTGTAATGCAATACAACACAACACTGAAATCAAGCAACTACCAGAAATGTTTGGTTTGAATTCAGTGTATTTTGACAGCAGGGGATTCCATTACAGAGAAAGAACACTGCTATTTCTGTGGTCAACAGGACTCCCACTGAGTCAACAGGTGATCCACTGCTTTCTATAGTTAGTGTGCACACATGCACACACAACACAAGTTTTAAATTCAGTCCTTCAAATATTGACTCACTCATAGCTGGGAAGAACACAGGATCACTGATTTGTAGTTCACCCTGACTGTTTCAGTGTGTGTGTCTAGCTGGGTGCACATGGGTTAGTTCAGTGGGATTTGATAGCTGCAGCTGAGAGCCAAGTAGAGTCTAACTTCTCACAGCACAGCACCACCCAATTTACCACAGAGTTTTACTAATGCAACTGTGATTTCATGGCTTGCAAAGGTACCCTGTGGGCCTTTTATACAGAAACACACAGTTTATATTCAGTGTTCCTCACCAAACACATGTGTGTGTAACTGTAGGCCTTCATGTTGAAGCAGTCCCTTGTTGCCATACGCTTACAGTAATTCCCTGGACCTTTTTATTTTTTGAGCACAGATCATGAGACAGACAAGTGCGACAAGTGTTGGCGGCCAGACTCAAACCGCCAGTGTTACACATGCACTGTGCATATGTAAATGATGTGCCCTGAAAACCATAGGGCCACCGGGGTGCCCCTCCCTAGATATTTTTATAGCAATACACCTGGCCACATACAACTGCTATTCTTTATTACTGACTGATACACTGTCAGAGTGATAATGATGTATTAGAGATGGCATGAATGTGCATGTAACTTTATTTGGGTAGAAGAAAAGGCTGGCCCCTTAACGCAGTTTATAGAATAAGATGATGGAGGTTTACCTGCTGTTTACACCAGGGTAGATATCCATTCATGTTAGGGTGTATTAGGCCAATGTTGCCAATGCTGCTTCATGACAGATTTGTATTTACAGGGTTTTTGCATCAGTGAAATTCCTATTTGGTTAATTTATCTGTCAATACTTTGTCTAGTGGACTTCCACACTTTATACAGCATGTTGATACTGTATTGATACTGAACTTAAATGCAATGCGTAAACATTGCAAAACCACAACTGCATGTACCCCCACCTACTAGTGAAGGGGTAACTACTTGTTACCTGTTAGAGTTTATATTCCAAGTACCATGTTCTCATATGTGACACAACCAATGGCTCAAGTCATGAAAATAAAACACAAGTTGTTCTTCTAGCACTACAGCTGCACATACTACACAGTTGCTGTTTTGGACAACATCTGCAGAAATGTGTATCAGCAGAACACAAGAAAGGTAGACAACATGACTACACAGTGCCACAACTGGCCAAAAACTCCAGAGGGTACTTCTAATAGCAACATGGCATGGTTAAATTGTACACAACTGCAGTTCTGATGCAAGGTTACTGTTTGATTGGTCAAGCAAGTTACTGTTGCTGTAGCTTTTAGTGAACACAAGAAAGGTAGACAACATGACTACACAGTGCCACAACTGGCCAAAAACTCCAGAGGGTACTTCTAATAGCAACATGGCATGGTTAAATTGTACACAACTGCAGTTCTGATGCAAGGTTACTGTTTGATTGGTCAAGCAAGTTACTGTTGCTGTAGCGTTAACTTAGTTTTCTTCTTTCTTCTTTTCTTTTCCTTACTTTGATGTGCAGCATGTGTAACCTGTGTAAAGTAAGCTTTTGTTGTGATTAATAGTTCCTAGCACCCTACTATTTGTGGAGTGATGTTTTCTCTTGCATGTCTCCTGTTCCTGTGTGTCTCCAGCTCTCATGGCTCCCAGCTTGGCCCAGGCATACAGGAGGAGGTGGTGGATGGCCAGCACAGCTATCATAGAGAACCTGCTCTTCTCTGCTGTTCTGTTGGGCTGGGGATCACTGCTGATCATGCTGAAGAATGAAGGATTCTACTCCCACATTTGCAACGGTAAGACCACTATCCAGTCAGCCCTTCTACCTGGCTCTAGGCTTCGGTAATCCTCCACAGTTTGATCTGTCAGAGATTCGCCTTTCTCAGATAGTTTCAAAGCTGCACAAATTTCGAGGGCATTTTTGGTGATACCACACATGTGACAACAGGCCAGCATGCTTCAATGTTTTCTGCTTTTAAAGACATCATCTGAGTATCATACAGATCTATGGTATGTGGTTTCTGGTTCTTTATGGAGACCATGAGGCAGGTAAAATTTGAAGGACTGATATCTCTGAGGGCAGTGACAACCTTTCAGTTTTTCTCTGACCCCATCCAGAGAATGAGACTGGCAGCACCAACGTGACATTCGCAGAGCATGGTCATTGGCAGAGTTGTGTGGAGCAGGAGGAGATATTGAATCTGGGCTTCACTATTGGCTCATTCCTCCTGAGTGCAGCCACTTTACCGCTGGGGATATTGATGGATAGATATGGGCCACGCCCACTGAGGCTCGTTGGCAGGTGATAAACACAATGCTTCAGTAATATTCTGTGGTTCTGAGTATGACCATTTACAAGAGACAACACGACAGTGATACCACACTACATGTGTTCTGACGTCTTGTGTCTGTATGTGTTTCAGTTCATGCTTTGCAGCCTCCTGTGCAATGATAGCTGCTGCAGCGTATAAACCTGAAGGTGAGACAACACCTCAACTCATGCATCCAAACATGAGTCCAATCCCATTACTGCAACAGTCCAGTTTCCACATGGAGATACAGTAGAAAGAAATAAAGAGAGAAAACAAATTAGTCATTTTACAGCGTTTACAGTTTCTTGTAGTATGCTTATAGTTTTGCCATTGTTCATATCAGTTATGGTACCATTTTACTGACCAGCTTCACTGTAAGATCTGGAACAGGAAAATATAACTCTCACCTTTGGTAGGAAATGATGGCCAAAATTAGAAAAATAAGGGCCTGACTGTAAAAAACAAAACAAAAACAAAGCTGACCTTTAAAGCCTCACTATAGCTTATAGCATTCTTCATTTGTTCCATCAGTGTTGTCTGTCCTCATCTTCTTTGCTGTCTCCTTCAATGGCTTTGGAGGAATCTGCCTGACCTTCACCTCACTTACAGTACGATTCACACACTCTCTCTCTCTCTCTCTCTCTCTCACACACTTACACACACACACACACACACACACACACACACGGTACTAACAAACTAACTGAAAAGCATCAAATACACATATTTTAACCTTCATTTCAGATTAATCACCTTTGAAAAGCATATATTACAAAGCTCTGGGTGTCATGGTGGTGCAGTGGTTAGCACTGTTGCCTCACAACATGAAGGTTCCCAGTCTGAACCTCACAGCCTTTCTATGTGTGTTTTCCCCATGCCTGTGTGGGTTTCCTCCAGGTACTCTGGCTTCAGCCCAGTGCACATTAATTTTACACACATTTATATTTTATAATTGAAGTAGAGAAAGCTCAGTGCAGTAACAAAACTGTTTGGTCTGTCAGTGTCTTAGCATATGAGGCCATCTATGGCATCTGCAGAAAGGAAGATGCTGTATGTGCAATAAGTACCTATCCAGCATATGTATAGTATGATATATAGTAGTGGATAGTAGACAGTATATGTACAGTATGTGTAGTCAGCTGTAGAGAGTGACAGAAGGCACAGGCTATAGTCCCTGCTGCCTGATACATCACAGAGGTACATTGCATAGACTTCTAGGTCAACAGGACCACATGTGGCACAGAGCTGGATATTTGAACTCAAAGATGACACCCTGTCCCTTGAAAGAAAATGAGTCCCCTCTAAATTTGCTTCCAGACTGAGTGACCCAATGCACATGCACAGTAGGACCTCCCTTGCTGCCTTCCCACCCAATGTGTCCCTGCTCAGACCATAGATTTTACATTGGTCACAAAAGCTTAATTTTCCAGACTGGCCAGTGACCTGGTTTACAGTTTGAGGTCTAAACACACTGTGTGGTTGTGATGGCACTCAGGATTGTGTACCTGTGATTATAAGTACATGTTCCTCTGTGTGTGTATTTTGGAAGGCACCGCATGCTGTTCTAAATTCTGCTGCTACCTCTCAGCCAATCCAGAACACTTGCAGTCAACACGCCTTCCCACCCTCGTGTCCTCATGTCAACCCTATCTCTCTCTTCTTCCCACTTCCTGACCTGCAGCTTTCCCTGAACTTGGCATGGTCATTTTGGCTTTTCTGCTGTTATTCCTAGTTGATCTGTGTGTGTGTGTGGTGTGTGTGTGTGTGTGTGTGTGTCTGTGTGTGTGTGTGTGTGTGTGTGTGTGTGTGTGTGTGTCTGTGTGTGTGTATTTGACAGAAAGACCTGATATAAAGGTGGTACATTTCTAGCTAACTTAGCTAGCTGCCAACATTTTTTGTGCCACATCAACACTGATAAAGAAGTTTCTATTATAATAAACATACAAACATCAGTGGTATTTTAATCTCCCTACACACAATAAATTTTTAAGCCTAAAATCTCCTTTATCTGTGGATCTTAACAGTGGACTTGTTTGCCAAATGTTCTGCCATCTCCTGCAGTAGATATCTAATCATTCCCTGGATAACTGCTGGCAGCTGGGGGAAGGAAATAGATGCAGCCTATAAGTATGATTCACTTCTGGCATCAATTGAATGCATGTATATTGGGAAACTGATTGGTACCTATGGGAAGAAGTTCACTTTGGTAGGTTTTCATATTTAGTTTAGGTGTCAGACTGTGCATACTACAACAGTGCGCAATAAAGAATGATAAGGGCAGTTTGGGAACTGAAGCCAAGAGATGGAACAGGTAGTGGAAAGAGAGGCAAAGAGTAATGGAAAAGAAGAGAGGGCAGATAAGAATGGAAAAACAGAGGCCTACAACAACATGGAGACTTTACTGAGGTGAGTGAGAAAGTCAGAGCACACGTTGTAGTTATATCTATTACAGCAGTCCTATGTCAAAACCAAGATTTAAGACATTGTTTTAGTTTATATTGTGCTCACATAGAACTACATGTTCCCTCCTCAAAAAAAGTTGTTAAAAACTACTACTGTCAAAAATTACAAATAACATGGTGAACTTAGTTCCATATAGTTTCCTGTCTGTACTTAATGGAAACTGAGGGAAGACATGCACAAAGGACGAGCTCAGTGTGGGCCCAACACTGACTTTTACCCCAGGTCCTGGCAGGGTAACCTGTTACTGTTGCTGCTACATTACTTGCGTTATTGTTATTACTACAAAACTTGTAATTAAGCTGGCTCCGTCATGAACAGGACAGATCAGATGTGTTGCTTCTGAGTCACAGACAGAGTGGGCAGAGCATTCAGACCAACAGCTGATCAGCGGGTCAGATAATGAGAGTTCGTTTTCTTGCACAATGTTTGGCAGAAACAGTTTGGGTAAATGGAAGTATGATCACTGATATCACCCTGAGTATGGATTCAGTGGTGGAGAGGAATTCAGTAAAATACATCCACAACCTTGGTAGATTGATAGTAAATGATCTTTCATATTATAACTTTTGTTAGCAGCTACATGTAGAACTAGCACTGTCCTTTTCCACTTTTATATAAAGGTATTACAGCTATTTTATCTATAGAGTCACATACAAAAATATCAGAGTGTAGTGCTCCCACACACCAGACCAGTTAGTGTCGATACAGCTTTACTAGTTTGAAGAACATGTGTTTGTGCTTTGTTTGAACATGGGTCTATAACAGAGGTTTGTAATCTAAGAGGGACTTTCTAGTTAAATAACGTCTAAATAAATAACATTTTCAGAGTAGGCCAAGGGCAAAACAGAGAACACATTATCCACTAATCACAAAATCCAAACTCAACTGTATGTGTTTGATGAGTTAAACATGACAAGATTTCTTTAACCTGTAATATTTAGAAGAATACAAGTCTACAGGGTTTAAAGAAATAGATAAGAGATGGTTGGAACTGTCACCAGAAAAAGTGAACAAAACCATAACAAACACTTGTACTGACAGCTTACTGAAAGAAAAAAAATCTTGTGCTTGTTAGGAAAATTGCAAATAGCACCAGCAAATGCAATAAGAGGTAGTTTGGGCAGGTGTTATTGTTATCACTATTTGAACTGGGGAGAGCACCTCTGAGTCAGGGGTAGGGGGTAGCAAACATATTCTGGTATTTGTCTTCAGTTAAGCAAGCAGGTGTGTAAATGGAGAGGAAGTATTTTTGGGAGGCAGTATGAGGGGTCAGGGTGAGAGGTCAGTGTTTTGTGTTTGAGCGTTTCTATCCTGGTCAACTGGGCAATAAATCAACATAGGTTATTCATCTGTTGTGTAGATTCCTGTGTATATAGAGGGAATGAAACACAGTATTTGGCTTATGTTACTGTCTTGTGCTACTCAGAGACCCACTCCACCCAGCTCACTCCCTGCTCAGACACAAAAACTGCACCTACAGCCTCAGGCACAGCAAGGCGGACAGTATCATCACACACAGAACTAGACTATACAACAGCTTTTTCCCTGACGCAGTAAGACTGATGGCAAATACGAAAATGTGAGAAAATATGTGCAATAACCCCTTATTAGACATGCGTAATAATAATACAGAAATGTTCCACAAGGTATTTTTGGAAGAGCATCCCATCAACAGTGTTCTCTTGTTGGACCTGAATAATAGCAGGACATTCTCTACCAAACAATGGAAACAAGCCTGAATATAAACTGTGTTTTAGTATGTTATAACCCCTCACTACCTCACCAAGCGTAATGACATATCCAACTCCACCATGTGAATTACTAAGTGCGATGTTTGTGGTTTTAATGCTTTGTTGCCTTTATGTAACTTTTCTTATTTTAAGACTAAGTGTTCTTTCTGGCTTTTGACTCCTTCCCTGACTCCAAAGGAGAGCTACACAAGAATTCTTACAGTATATGCCTAGACTGTCTCTTTATGCATAAATGGCAAATAAAAATCTTGACTTGACTTGTGTATACACTTTGAGAGCTTGTCAAAAATTAAATGTGTAAACAGTATCAAAATCTGCACATGCAGTTTTAATAATAAAATAGATGGTGGTGATGTTCCAGAACTGAAATGGTCAGTCAGTAAGTTTGAAGGCCTGTAGTGAGATCAGGCACATGCAGTGAGCTGTGACTGGTGCTGCTCCAGCTGCAGCTGTAGTTAGAATGAAAGCCTGAAGACACACACTCCTAAACTAACAACTGCAGGGGCAGAGAATGTTCACATGTAAATTGTCATGACAAGAAAATGTTGATAATCATTCAGGGTGTATGTGGTAATCAGCTCTACTTGCACTTTTCAGCTGAAAAGCTTGTGTAGATAATAATCAGTAACACCACCTGCTGGTTATGTTCTTAAAGTGCATTTAATTCACTGGTAAAGCACTTTAGTTTAATCCTAACAATTAGCCTGTTTTACATTATATGTTGTTTTACACAAATGCCTGAAAAACATTGTTCACCAATATATTTACCACAGGTGTTCACAGAGTCCAGGGATGTATTTCTTCACATTCATGCTGACTGATAAATATTTGATTAAAAATTATTTATTGATTTGATGCGTTTTCTTCAGATTTAATCATTCTCTCTTTCATCTAGCTGCCAAACATGTTTGGGAATATACGCTTAACCATCCTCTCCCTGATGATTGGCTCCTATGCTTCTTCAGCTGTCACCTTCCCCGGTGTTAAGGTGTTCATACACAGACACACATGCACACCCACATGCATGCACAAGTATATCTGAACCGCAGTCTAATTTTAAAAAGCAGAGACAAGCTGTCCACACAACATGATACAATTACAAAAGTGTACATTTTACATGTGACTGCTGTTCGCTAGAGTGTGCTGCTTGATAAGCTGTAAATAAAGCAGCTGAAGGACTGAGAACAGAAGTAAGAGTGGAATGGCCTTTAAGGAGTTTAAGTTAAATATTACACTGATGTGGTGGGGTCAACCTTTCGTTGATACATGATAATGAATTTCTTTTAAATGTGCTTTCTTTCTCCCCCACTCATCTGTTCATCCCTGTCTCTTGCTCTCTCTCTTAACCTGCCTTCCTCCCAAACCCTTCTCTTCCTCTTTGTCATACCACTCCTCTCCAGGTGATATATGACTTTGGCGTGTCATTCCGCATCATCATGTGGGTTTGGTCTGGCATGGCCTGCCTGGTCTTCCTCAACTGCTTCCTAAATTGGCCCGCTGAATCCTTCCCTGCACCTGAAGACATCAGATACACGTCAGTACACCTTACATCCTGTAGTCATACTAATGTACAGTGCACATACAGTAAGAGCACACACAGGTTCTAGGTTCTACAGGGGAGACAGATTCAGTTATGATTAAAATTACTAAACTACTAAAGCACTCAAATTCCTTAATATAAAGCACCTCAATACTTGATAAAAACACTGTGATGTAGTCAAATTTAAGTACCTGATAAGTATTCAGGTCGTGTAAAATTATAAGCTTTAGCTAGTATACTAAGACTAATGCAGTGTGTGCTCAACTGTTCAAGATGTGCATAAACTCACAAAAAAGGCAAATATACAGTACTTGCAAAATGCAGGAGCACTAATTACAGTTATGAAGTGGAGACTTTATTCCAAACTTAAGCTGACAACAATATGCCATTTTCAGAGCTTAAAATACAGCAACAGCCTGCTATAAATATAAGTGAATATAAGAATATAAGTGTACACACACACACATATACTGTATATCAAAACATTTTTGCAATTTTAAAACAACCAGTACAATCACAATTCATGAATTCTTCAGCCTGAGAAACATAATAGAAAATATCATCTAGAGTAGAAAAACCTAATTAGGGACTAATCTTATAGAAATAACTATAAATGGATGATATCAAACAGAATAATGACAATAATAAGAAAAAAATTGAAGAACAAATTACAGGGACAAATAGATAATCATAAATGTTTCAAGAAGGAATAAAGTAGATATAATAAAAAAAGATGTGCAAAGTAAACATAAATAATGAACATTATAGAGTACTAGAAAGCATGCCAATAGAAAAAATATTATGCAAATAGAATCACTATCAGTCTATCAGTTAATATAATAGGCATAATCATGTGATCTTTTTATTGTGTATGATTTAGAAAAATTAGGTCTTTCTGTGATCAGTTTACTGCTGATCAAACTACTAACTATAATGCCTTCACCAGTGGGACTGTTGGACAGGGTGTTGATAACTGTAAGGGAATCATTGTAATTATAATAAAAAACACCATAGCAGTCATGATGAGTATAATTCCTCATGGTAGTGGTGAACTCTGAGTGTTCCTCTGGCACCATCTGTCAAATTTGCCATTTATAACAAATCTAAAAGCAGGCATTTAGTGAGCACACTGATTCAGACCTCTTTGTCATGTTGGCTGCTCCATGACTTTTGAAAACATGTTTAGTAATACAATTATAAATCTGTCTGTGTAGATTCTCAGTCATCCAGGTCATAGAAAGCTGAAAAAACTTCTGGACTAGATTTCTAGGTTGAAGACATCCCACCTCTCATCCAAGAGGCTTCATAAGTTCATGAACAGTTCAGAACTTTCAATGACATTTTTTCAATAATAAATCTGTTATCACTATTGTGCAGCTTCTGTCAACAACTACTGTAGGTTAAAATGTTTTTCAGATGGTGACAGATAATGAATATTCTTTCTTTTGTATTGCTATTAGATACACTCTGGGGTTGTTTTCAATGTCTTTCTCTTCTTTTGGCAGTAAAAAGATGAGGCACAGTAGGGTTGTCACAGAGGACAAGATGACTGGAGACAGGTATGTCACTCATGTGACCCTCATGGAGGACACAATGGGAGCCAAACGACCAGAACCTGAGCAGACAGACTTCCAAAGCACAGCTCAGGGTAAGGAATATTACTGTTAATGTCACATTTTTGTGAAACAACAAATTTACGTTTCTACATTTTTTGTGCATGTGAACAGCTTTTAGATCACTGCAGTATGTGAATACCAAGCCTTCTGTTAGGCAGCCAAAATTCAGTGTCTGTGCTTGAATATGGTAATAGTATAGCTAAGTTAAAAAAAACAAAAAACAGCAGCAGTGTAGAGTTGGGTCATTATGTGAGAGACGGTATGTTCAGAATTGTTGCAGCAGATGCCAAGATATCCAAACCATTATGCAATTTTAGACCCTCTCTGCCAGGTGAGGTCCCATGTCTTTAAAACTCTAACTGCAGTTTGTAATGGAGTCTTTCTATCTCCAAAGCCAAGCTCTGATGACATCATCACTGTTTCATGATGTATAAAATTGGTGGATGATGCCTTTAATTTAATCTACAACTGCCGCTTATAATATCAGATGGTAGGCTATGAGTTAAGGTTGTACATCTTACTCTAAAATGAACTGAATTAGTTTCTTACAAAGCATTTACTATGCTAATTATAGTTTAGCTATTAATGTTGTAGCTGATTCAAGCTGTTAGTGGGGCCAGGAAGGTCACAGCTTCAACCAGCTACAATGTGTTTGCCAGTCAGCTGCTTACTTACAAAAGCTGGGGGAGAAGAGGTGGTCAGTGAGACATCCCCTGGCCAATTGGTGACACAGAATCACAGGGCACCTAAGCCACAGAGGGCTCTTTTGGGATAGAGGACTTTCCTCTTCCAGTTTCACCCAGTTTCCCCCTTCAGTTTATTGACTTAAACTTTTTTTTTTTTAAGAACCGTGTTTATAGTTGTTAAATGTGCAATCCCATTAGTGAAACCAACATTCTAACGAGCCAGACAAGTCATATAAACCATGACAACAGTTCTGAATAAAGGTGTAGGCTAACGTTACCAACTTCTGTTATATTACCCACTCTCATGGTAACAGCACAACTGAATTATTGCACTATCCATCACTTTACCAACCAACCTATTGACCTCACAGGACAGCTAGATAACATTCAGGCACACATATGGATTTAGACACAACAGCACCATTTTTGGTCGGTGACTGAAGTTGGCATCGTACATACTTCAATAGCAAGATTTCAGCCAATAGAGTGCAGTCTCTATACACAAAATGCAAATACTTTAATACATGTCAAAATTTGGACCCGAATCAGTCAATAAGCACTACTAAGATACCTGTATTCATTGATTTAGATTCAATGATTAATTTTTAGCTGAAAAAAGTCAGTTGCAGGTTTAGTTACTCTTTAACAGTTACATTATTTAGTAGATGTAGTGTCAGTGTTGTTTTCAGTATGACAAGACATAAACTGTGATAAATATACTCTAATATTTCAAACAAAATATTGTCACTATATAGTCATACACTGACTAAAACTCTAAACAAATGCTGATTTAAGCTGCACTAAATCTACCATGTTTCTAACTTTACTGGACTTGTAATAAAATGCTTTGATTCTCAACTTGAAACACTAAATCCCCTGCACTTGAGCCACCAGATAAGACAGTGCTCAACTATTTTTGTGGGCAGCAAAGTCATCCTTGCATCATACTCTCCTCCAGGTTTGGTCTTACCGCTGTCATTTTGCAGTCGAGCCCCCTAAAAAATGCAGTGCACTGTTCACTCCCTGATGTCACTAGGAAATAGGGCAACTGTCCCCTGAAGCGGAACTGTGTGACTCCCTGAACTAAAAGTTGTTTTTTCATACCATCTCGCTCTCCCTCTCCTTCTTCAGCCTCAGTGCCACTCTGTCGTTCTGTTTGCTCCCCCATCTTCTTGTGGAGTCTCATCACCATGGCAATGACCCAGCTGAGGATCATCTTCTTCATGGGGGCCATGAACAAGATGGTGGAGTTTCTGGTCACCCATGGCGACCCCAACCGTAAATAATAACTTCATTTATTTTTTAAGTACTAATTTGTTTTCAGTGAACAAAGCAATGATAAGAACACTGAACACCAACACTGTCTAATGTCCTTGTTATCACTAAAGTTAATCAAAGGTGAAACAATTAAAAACACTTTATACTAAGTTGAGTGAAAACTGACTGATAAGCACTGATGTTGTCAAAAATGTTGTGTAATAGATCCAATAATTTCAGTGCAATTTGTGTCAAACTGGGATCCCTGACCTGCAGCTGATCTTTCTTTTAGTTTCAGAAGAGCTGCAGCAGGAGGCGGAGGACCAAGGTAAGAGTCAAGCTGCTCAGCTGGACAGGCTGTTTACATATGACTGCTGTCCGCTGGACTTGATGTGTGACTGGGACTTGGTCATGAGTCAAATCCTGGCTATCACCTTGGCAGTCACTGTGTTAGGGTGGGAAAAATATGATACCTACTGACTCTGTCCCTGCGTATCCTCCCCAGTTGGTTTCTACTCATCTGTCTTCGGTACAATGCAGCTGCTGTGCCTACTGACCTGTCCTTTGATTGGCTACATCATGGACTGGAGAATAAAGGACTGTGAGGATGAAAATTCAAACTCGCAAACCGAGAAAAGGTATATGGCTCAGTGGGTTCTCTTCAGGGTTATGCATTGTGTGGCTTACATTTATACTGTTGTTCAGCAGATAGCAAGTCAGATGTTTATTGCAAATGATGGGCTTAGAAGGTTTTTACTGATAGGTTCAAATTGAATGAAAGAGACTCTTTAATGCTTGCTGTCCATATCGGCCCTGCAGAGATCCCTTCCTTAACTACATTGTAAAAGATGAGGACAAAGCCTCTTGATAACAATGTAGTGTCATATTCCTGACCTTGGACCCTGTCACACCAGTGCCTGTTTTGTGGCTGTATGCCTCTGTAACATGTGACATTTGTCCCCTTTAGCCAATCAGATCCCCCAAAGAGAGACAGAAAGATTCAGAAACTGACCAATGCCATTAGAGCGTTCATCTTCACCAACCTCCTATTGGTCACCTTTGGAATAATTTCCTTGATTGACAACCTGCCCTTACAGGTTAGAAAAACACAGTATATTAAAACAGAGATCAGAATTTCCATATATGTCAGTACAGTATGAAGACCCATGCATATGAGTTTACTGGCACACGCACTGTAAATAAAGAAAAACAATGACATGTTGTGCCTGTCGTGTCTGTCATTCGCTGATAGATGGCAGCTTTTGTTCTGCATACCATGGTGAGAGGGTTTACCCACTCCTGCTGTGGAGGCCTCTATGCTGCTGTGTGAGTACCACTACCGACAAACTGCACAAATCAATATATTTATATAAGCAGAGCCTGTAAAGACCCTGGTGGTTGGGATGTAAAGAGTAACTGCACCAAGGAAAATAATCTACTTAACTAATGGCGACTACTGTACATGCTGCTTCCACACTGTGTGCAGTGCACATATGGGTTTGGTCAGAAGTAGATGTGTATCCATCCTTTTAATTCTCACATTGCTGGGTTTTGAATATGATGTCTGTGACTTAAGACAGTGATTCAAAAGAAAGACATTGACTGTTGCTCATTTTCATCTTGCATCTCATTCTAGGTATCCAGCCAAACACTTTGGGACACTAACAGGCATGCAATCGATGATCAGTGCTGCTTTTGCCTTGCTCCAGCAGCCACTGTTCATACTCATGGTGGGACACCTCAGTGGAGATCCTTACTGGGTAAAAAAGACACACACATTCAGAGTTGACATTAATAGGCATCCAGGTTTTCTAAGATGTTCGTAGCAGGTTTGTCACATGCACTGACATGTATCTTCTTGCAACAGATCAATTTGGGCCTTCTCATCTTCTCCCTGGCTGGTTTCCTGTTGCCCGGCTATCTGTTCTATCATCGTAAAAACCTGATCAGGGCAAAGGTGGTGCGTGATAGGCTGGCTGCCAGCCATCCAGACAAAGAGAAGGCTCCTCTAACTCAATCAGCCAGTGAAATTGTTAAGAGCCAAGCCAATGGACTCACAGCAAATGAATACACACCAAATGGACATGCAGTTTAAAATTATTGACAGGAGTGAAGTGGTCACTTTATATTGTAGTTTTCTGTAAATAACATCCAGTAGTTTATGAATATTCTAAGGCTATAAATGCACCCACATTCTGGCTTGAAAATGCTGACATCTAACAAAACAAAGACAGAAACATAAAAAAATGACACATGCTGACAGGGTTTGAAAAGGATCAGGAAGTTATCTGGTGTCAGACTTCTCATGTAGTCTTCTCTTTGATTTTTCACTAGATGCCATCATGTGATCAATTATAAATGACATGTAAAGATGGCTCAGTGGTTAGTCCTGTGGTCTTAGGTCGGAATGTCAGCTCTGCTCCTCCCTGTGTGGAGTGTTCATTTGTTTCCCTGTTTAAAGGAGCTTTTCTCCACTAACACCTTCAATCACCCATATGTGAGAATATGTGTACATGTTATACACCGGTGAACTGTTTGCTGGGAAAGTCTTGAGATCTCAAAATTTGATGCTAGCAATACAGTCACAAGCATACATACATTTTTGAGGACCATACCAGTGTTTCAGCATGCTTGATCCTTCAATCTAAATACTTTTGGCCTGGACTGTATTTATCTAATTGCTTTGTTCTTAACAACATCATATAGCAACTATGTTGCTATGCTTATGACAATATAAAAGAGGCTGGTCACAGCAGGCAGCTGTTTTCAGAGAAAGAACTCCAAAAACCCGCTGTCCACTGCTCAGTGGCAGACACTATTAAAAACTAGATGGCGAACACTATGGAGCATGTAGCAGCTGGAGAGGGCAGAAATGTGATTCCAAGAATGATCATTTTGCTTTGTAACTGCTGAATGTGCAAATAAGCAGTGGTGGAAGAAGTACTCAGGTCCTTTACTTAAGTTAAAGTAGCAATACTGCAGTTTAAATAGTGGCGACAGTGGTGTGGTGGGTCGAGCAGTTGTCTCCCATCCCTCATTAGTCTCCTCCATACTTATACACTGTTCACCAGTCACTCCCCTGCCAGTTCTTTCTCTGTCTTCAGGCCAGTGGTTGTTATGTTGTTTTGTCAAGTTTATGCTAAGATTGTCTTTGTTCTATCTAGTCCTTGTTAGCACCCTAGTCGTTCTCCTGCCCTGCCGTCTCTAGTGTCTTCTTCCTCTTCGGACCTCTCCTCTGGACCCCCCTGGATTTAATCTACACCACCAGCCACCGCCTCCCAGGTCGATGCACAGTCTCCCTTACCCAGTTTATCCCTGCTCTTCTGTCTACAGCCATCATCACCTCCACCTTGACCAACCCAGGCGTGACCTCTGCATCCGCAGCCCGGTACATCATCATCCACCATACCACTGACTGTTTTTTCTGCTGCTGCTGTCACCTTCATCTCATCAGGGTCAAGCTGCCAGGGAGCTTATGACTATCCGCCAGGGGCCTCGTAGCGTCCTGGATTACTCCATTGACTTCTGGGTTCTTGCAACGGAGGCCGGCTTGGAGGACCGCGCGCTTCGCGTGGCCTTCTGGCACAGCCTCAATGAGAACATCAAGGCGGAGCTGAATACACGTGATGAGCCCCCTTCTCTCCGCTCTCTGGTGGACTTGGCCATCCGGATCGACAAACAGCTATGCTCTTCCCACAAGGAAAGAGCAGGACTCACCAGACTCATCCCTCCGTCTCACCATCGCCGGCAACCATCACGAGGACATCCACTTCCACATCTTCTCCATTCCAGACACACCACTGGTTTTGGGTCACTCCTGGCTGGTCCAACATAACCCTACTGTTGACTGGATCACCGGCACCATCACCTAGTGGAGCCTGGACTGTGCATCGACCTGTCTCCTCACCGGACAACCCGCTTCTCCTGCTGCACCACCAAAACCTTTGGACCTGTCCCCCATCCCTCCGGACTACCACAACCTGCAACAGGTGTTCAGTAAACACCTGGCCACGGACTCTCTCCCCCCTCATAGACCATATGACTGTGCCATGGACCTGTACCCGGGAGCCACCTTGCCCAACAGTCGCCTCTTCCACATCTCAAAACCTGAACGACAGGCTCTGGAGGAGTACATTGGAACAGCCCGACGTGCAGGCATGATCCGTCCTTCTTCCTCACCCCTGGGTGCAGAGTTCTTTTTTGTGGGGAAGAAGGATGGTGGTCTCCGTCCATGTATAGATTACCGTGGTTTAAATGCAATAACTGTCAAAAACAAATATCCATTACCTCTCCTTTCCTCTGCTTTTGAATTTCTCTAGGGCGCGGCAGTCTTCACCAAGCTGGATCTCAGGAGTGCCTACCACCTCATGTGCATCCGTGAGGGCGATGAGTGGAAGACTGCCTTCAAGACCCCACTTGGGCACTTTGAGTATCTGGTGATGCCTTTTGGTCTCACCAATGCCCCGGTGGTTTTCCAGGGGTTGATCAATGACATCCTCCGTGATTTTCTTGGTCGGTTTGTTTTTGTTTATCTCGATGACATTCTCGTTTACTCTTCTTCCCTCACAGAGCACATCCAGCACGTTCGCCAGGTCCTTCTTCGACTCCTGGAAAACTGCCTTTATGTCAAAGCTGAGAAGTGCGTCTTCCACTACCCCTCTGTGGCATTGCTGGGGTT